TTCTAGAATGGCCACCATAGGTGCTCATAGGGTTTTCACTATCAAGATTTAAAATACTTGATACCCTCATCATGGTTCTACCATTCTAAGGACATATATTAATACATCCAATATGATTTACGCGATATTGAATAAAATGCCTTTTTATTGATCAATGAACATTATTACAAAGAGTCAATTATACAATAATTGATTGACTCTAAGGCACCTACTCTAACATAAGTGACTGATAAGTAGTTGACATGTTTGATAAAATATGGCTTATAAGTACATTTTATTATTAAAATAACTAAAAAGGGTACTACATTATTTTATCAAATAATAAATTATATTAACTTAATTTTTTACTATAATATTATCAAAATATATTTCAATCATATTACAATATAATATAATTTTAGAATTAAATAAACAAATACTTTATAGAGAAATATTTTATTAAAAATTTATATGAATAATTTTTAGATTCTTTATACAAAATAAACTAATGAACAAATATAATGAATTATAATTATATTAAAAAAAAAAACTAAATATGGGTAATGTGGTAATATACTTGGTCAAAATAGGGGTAATGTGGTAATATACTTGGTCAAAGTATAAAAATAAGGTTTTATGATGGAATAGTGATAGAAGCGGTAGTTGTTTGAAATAAAAAATTAAAGGTTATGATGGAATTTTAAAATTAAATAAGGGTAATGTGGCAATATATTTTGTCAAAATAGATTATAAGAAAAGTGCTTATAAGCCAAAAAAAAAAAGTAGCTTCCTCTCAATTTACCTAAAAAATTTATAAACAAACATATCAACTTGACTTTAAAGTTTATGAGCTGGTTTGACCATCTTATAAACTCAGACAAGCATCCTCATAAACTCTACTAAAAAAAGTTGTACCAAACAAACCAAACTCTATAAATCACAATTATGGCTAATCGGTTAGTTATGTACATTGTACACACACAACAAAAATGGATATCTACAATAAAACCCCACAAATTTTGTTGACTTAAATGCCCCACATCACTATGGAAAATAGGAGGGTTGCCCCCAATTTTGACAAACCGTGCTTCAATATGGGCCTAAATACCTCAAATACCTAAAACAAAAAACAATTATACCCCTCTAATGATGTACTAATGTTAGTAAAACAATTTTAACCTTGTATTGACATGAAATACTGAAAATATCCATTATATTATATTACGCCATTTGGCAATTTTTTTTTTTTCATTAATTTCTTTTAATTTTTGTTCAATCCAATCAAATATCCTTTAATTTTACACCAATAAAAACTCTTTTAATCTTTTTAATCATAAAATATTATATTTCATTTTCCATCAAAATATAAATAAAAACTTTTGCCTCTTTTTTTTTTTTTCTTTTCTCTTGATTTTTGTCCTTATCAAAGCAAATCCATCTATTTCCACCGTTGATGGTCATTTTTGTCAAGGGAAGCCCAATCATGCGTTTTGAGGCCCCCAATTAAGTTACAAAGTTACAACTTAAGCATTGAGATTATGTTTAAGGTCTAAATGACCACCTTTTGGATCTCAAATAAAGCCCATGACATTTTCCAAATGCAAGTCCATGGCATCATCAAAATGGTAAGCCCTTGTAAGATTCCCTAGTAAGTAAGCCCAATGCACTTTGACATTCTCAAACATGTAAGCTCAAGACATTTAGACATTTTCTGACATGTAAGCTCAAGACACTCTAGCATTCTTTAACATATAAGCCCAAGACAATTCTAAAAGCTCTTAGCATACTTTGACGTATAAGCTTTAGATATTCTAGGATTCATCACATGTAAGCCCAAGAGAATCATAAAAGACTCTAGCATTCCCTAACATTTAAGCCCAATACATTTTGGCATTTACTGACATATAAGCCCAAGACAATTTTAAAAGCTCATGTCACTCTCATTAATAAGCTTATGACACGTGTTGCTATGAAAGCCCATCATACAATGACACCATTGCTAAATGCCCATCAAGAGATGGCACATATTGTTTCATAAAAGTCTATTACACCATTGCTAAAAACCCATCAAGAGATGACAATCTTTTACTTCAAATTCATTTCGATCCAGCCAACATCCTGTCACAAGCCTTTCCATAACAAAATTCATGTCTACGCAAGATATAGCATGCTTCACAAACCAATGCCCTACAGTTGAACAATAAGGTAAGCACTATTCTCCCTTTCCAAAGGCCAGCGGACCCAAGCCACTTCAATGCGGTAATCTTAGTGGGTTACGGTGCGATGGTATTAGTGCATTCAAAGAATCCTATGAAGCCGAGATGTACTTGAGCGATACCTAATTGGATATCTTGGATGAATATGTGTGAAAGCTCATTTCTGAAAAAAAAAACCCAAGAAAAAATACTTTTGAAACTCCAAAATCTTCCAAAAAATCATAGTCTTAAAACACCAATATTTGCTAGTCTTGATAGAAAAATGACGATTTTACTCTTTGGAGGCCAAAATACTCATGGGCACGTTTCAACCTCTTAGAAAATGTTTTCTCTGGGTTTCTTATTTTTCCCATGTAGTAAAAAAAATGCATACTTTTATCATGCATATTCTATCTTCTATAAATTTTACAAAATCCTTGCTCTTACACATTTTCATGTTATGAAAAATTTCAATTTCAGATTTTCTTAAGCATGGCTAGAGTTTCTAAAAACTACTAAAAAAAGGCCCCCTCAAAGATTTTACTTGCACTGAACACTTTGATTCACTCAATTTTGCGCAAAAACCTGTATGGGGCATTTTGATAAATTCCTTTAATCATTTTATTAAAATGCTTTAATAGTATCTTTTTTCCATTTTTTATCAAAGGATAAATTATTTCCAGGTTTATCACTCTTCTTATCAATTAAATTATGTAAATCCCGATTTTTTTTTATATATATAATTTTTTTTTAGCATTTATCTTGGACAAATTATCATTTTAGGCATTTATGTCTTTTATATTTATTTCTCTAATAATAAAATTATTTTCTAGGATTTGTCATTCTAAAATCCTTTTATAAATCACTTTTATTATCTCTAATTTATGTATTTTAAATTCAATGAATCTAGAGATGATTATGTCTAGATACATTAATTATTTCGATACTCTTTATCTTAATAAAATTATGGGATACTCATTTTAATAATTATATTTTCTTTAAATAAATAATTTTTCTAAATATACTTAAGACTTTTTTAAAGTATCCATCATTTTCTATGTATTACTTCAGAATGGATTTATATTCTTATATAAATATAATTTCTATGTATCTCATGTTTATTAATTATCTATTATTTATATTTATCTCATTATCAAAATCGTTTCTTCTGCAAACACGAAATACAATCACCTCATCGAGTTATGGTGTGCTTGCCCTTTTACACTTTTTGGGAGATCTCTTCATACTTTTACATTCATAAATCTTTTGAGTAATTTTTCTAGGTCAGAATACATTTTCTATAAGTTGTCTGTCACGATCTTTGTTAGATCAAAACATTGATTTCCTTGACTTTTTTTGCATTTCCAAAATCCGATTTTCTGTTAAACCTTTTAGCTTCAATTTCATTATTCTGATCACTTGGCATGTTTCTTTAATATGCATGCTTTCGCTAACTAATTACATTTTCTTCAAAAATTTGTTATTGGTTTTCTTTGTTTGACTTTATTGATGATGAAAATAAGACGCTCTTTAGGGTAAAGTCTTTTAAAGATGTTGTAGGTTAGCTCGTTGTTACTCAAAGAACAAAGTCCAAGAAAAGGGGTGTAGCAATTCACAATTAGGCCCATGCCAATAGTAGACCTTTCTTAATTTATATTCCATTTCATAGTAATTTTTCTTATTTTTTTTATTGATTTTCTCGTAAATACAAAAAGGCTAGCAACACCCACAAACCAAATGCATCAAATATCTTTAAACAAACAAAATCTCATCTTAACCCACACTTATCCATAAACAAAATCTCATCTTATCTCAAATTTATCCACAATCAAAATCTCATCAAACTAAATTAGTTAACTTGAAATTAGAAAAATAAAATACAAGCAAATAAATAAATAAAATTTGAATTTGTTATTGCTTGCTAGCCGTTGCAATTTGGCCGGATCTGACCAAATTGCGATTAAGGATGTAAAAACTCTGAGCCCACAGGGTTGCCCAAGTCTGGATTTTTTTTTTTTTTTTTAATGCAAGCTCGAGCTTAAGAAAAAACCTAGGTTTTACAAACCCATGCTAGGCCTACCCAGGCTTTAGGCCCATGTTTATTTATTTAAAAGAGGTATTTGAAATTTTACTTAGTAAGGGGGTGCTGGATTTAATAAATTAGGGGGTTATTATTATTTTACATGATTTAAGGTAGCTATTAGCAGTAGTTTTTAGGCGGTTTAATATAATTTTAGCGGGTTTTCTAAAATTTTATATAGGAGGCTATAGATAATTTCATATAACCTCGTATAATATACCTGAACCCTAATAGGGTTGAATGTAATTTGTGCCCAAGTTAAGTCGAATCTAAATCAAGTCGGGTTTTTTTTACATCCTAAATTGCGATGGCTACCAAGCAATTGTCCCACTTGTCCTTGTCAAATTCCAAGCTGAAAATCGCCTTCCTCTTCCTCAACAACTCTGATCTTGTCTTCGCTCCCCTTTGGGCCACCTTCTTCACCAACAACTCAAACAAAAACCTCTTCAAAAAAAAAAGTAAAAGGTATCAAAGGTGAAGGATTTGGGGATAGTAGGATGGATATGGATTCAAATAGTAAAGGGTTTTTCATCTTTACACTACTTATTCCATATCAATTAACAGATCTTAACATGATGGGAAACTATCATTCTCCTGTAAATAGAAAAGAAAGTTTAAGGATTTTTCACAAAAAGTCATAAATACCCTTTTAAAAATCTTATAATACCAAAATATCCTAATTTCCGTTCAAGATAATTGGTGAAATTAAGGAAATGAGAACTACCTATGTAAATTGTGTCAAACCATAAATGTAAGACCTAACTCTTTATTGAAGAGTCTGTTAAGAGAGTTCCTATGTCCATGTCGTAATCCTATTCATTTAATATCTATCTCCTCCTTGATTTTATGGACAAAGACATCAAGAGAGGAGTGAGAGAAATTTCATGTATTTTATTTTTCCAAGTTCTAATTATGTGATTTCTAACAAATATATCCTGACTAGATTTGGATTCCATTATATTTACGTCTGTCTATACAGGAGGAAACTACGCGTGATACAAGAACAAGCTATTTCCAGAACCACAGGCTATCAAGTTTTCGGCTGGATGCCATGCTAGATGCTGCAACTTGGAGCTCGAGTTACGAGAATATTCATTACTATCCAAGCTTAAATATTCATGCCCTGCACAGTAAGTAAAAGTAGAGAAGTCAGAGCCCCATATAAAAGGAGGGCGGTAGAAAGCAAAAGCCATTCTTGGTTCAGGTAACGAAACTCTTAACCTTGCCGATAAAACCCACGAGCCAGGTTGCTTAAAGAAGACCTTCTCACCCTTGGAGCAGCTTGAAGAAGTGACCTCCTATTTTAATCAATCGGGGAACATAAAATTAAACACACGAAATGAAAAGGAAGGATTAGAGCATTGTTGCAGAAAATTGTAATGGTAATGCCATCAAGTACTAGCATATTATTATCAATGTTTGTAACACCGGATTTAAAAAGGTAATAGCTTTCCTTTCTCTTTTCTGTTTTCTCTTTTGTGCGCAAAATGAATGATAATAGCAGCAACTCATAGCGGAATATTGTAGGTAATTAACATAAATCAGGGCATAGACATCCATGCTATTATTGCAATCTCACATAGGATAAAAATGGATTGGATCTTGGACTATATAGAGGCAGGTAGTTAACAAATGTTCGCTCCACAAAAATGGTATCAAAACAAATCCATGACAAACTCAAGTTCTTATCCCCTATGTAGGCTCTCATAATCAACTAAAATATTGACTAAAACGTGAGTTTGACTAGTCAAGAATAATGCCAAACGTGACACATGACAAGGTGATCCCGTAAATGGGTGGAAAAAAATGCCACAATCCTACCTTATAATAAAAATAAATTAAATCTCACAATTATAAGAGTGGGTAGGCAACTAATTTTTCGGGTAATTGGCAGAAATCCAACCCAAGACACCATATACAGATGGTTTCACGAAGCAGATGCAAGAGCAAGATCTCCGTACTCAGCTGTCCCAAATTTTATAGGTCCCACAAAATTTTGGAAGGGGTTTAAGGCTTTAAGCCCTGATATATTAAACAAAATGTAGCAAGGGGAAGAAAGAAAAATGGAAAAAGAAAATGATTAAATCTGTTAAAAGACAAAAAATGTGATCTTCAAGCATTTCCAAACATCTTTCTATTTTTCTCACCAGATTTTTCAAGTTCACACCCATCTGATGGACCCGTAATGTCTCAACGATACAAAGGAGGAAGGGGTAAAAAGGAGAATTACTAAAAGTAAAAGGTGGCAGAATTAGTTACAAAGAATCTGAGTATGTCAGGAATAAAATGAGAGACGTGAGGTGTAGAGGGTATTCTGATTTTGGGTGTGTATTGTCTGGAGGTACTGGCCCTCAAAGTCTAGCTGTTTTGTTGCCTTTGAGTCTACTGTTATTTGCTTATTTTGCTTATTTAACTACTGTTATATTGAATAGTAATATTATCCACAATTTTCATGAGTTGTTCCATCTTTGTTCTTGATTGTTGCTTGGCTGTTGATTTAATGGCTTATTGTGTGTGTTGAGTTGCTCTGTGTGGGTGAAGGAGGTGAATTTGGGTTAATTTTAGAAGGCAATATCTATCAAATGGTATCAGAGCAAGGCGATTTGTTGGGTTATGGTTGGTACTAGGATGGAGAATAAAGTTGAGAAATTAGAGAAGGACATGGCAGTGGTTCAGAGAGATGTAGCTAGGATAACAGAAACGGTGAATGCCATAAGAGAAATATTAATGGATGTTCAAAATTGGATGCAAAAGAAAGATGAGGAAGGAGAAGAGCGCAGAAGAAACCTGGTTGGGGGCTCCGACGGAGAAGGAGGGGGTTGTATAGGGCTTGACTCTCACGGTGACCATGGACATCTAGGCGGAAGCCAAAGCGATGAAGGGTGGAACCACGGCGGTGAGGGATGGTTCCACGGCGGCGATGGAGGAAACCGCTACGAATGGGGTGCTGAAAACTAGAACTGCCGATTTTTTCCTGCGAAGACCCCTATGGGTGGGTATTTCGAGTGGAATGCTACTTTATCATCAACCAGATCCCTAACAAGCACAAGGTATTTGCGACAGCGTTATGCATGGCGGTGGAAGCTCTCCATTGGTACTAGTGGACAAAGTCACGGGCGGAGGCGAGGACCTAGCCAGCCTTCAAGGTGGCTCTCTTGTAGCACTTCCGTGGAATGCAAGAGGTCAGCTCGTTGGAACTGTTGATGGCAACCAAGCAAGGTGGGACGGTGGTGGAGTTTAGAAGGAGATTTGAGAACGTGGTGACGTTGACCATAAGAGAAAGCGAGGATGTTTTAACCGCCGCTTGTCTCAATGGGCTCAAACCGAACGTAAGGGCCAAAATCAAGTTGCAAGAGCCCAACCTCTTGGCCCAGGCCAACCCGCTAACAAAGGCCACATTGCTGACCTAAAGGGTGGAAGAAAGAAACATGGTGATTGAAAAGGCCCACTCTAGCTTAGGCCAACAAAACAAGTGGGGAAGTGCCTTTAGTGGCCCAAGAAGTTTTATTGCTCAGCCCAAACCTGAAGAAGCCCACAAAACCCAACCATCATTCACCAGCACCAATTCTTCCAACCCGACTTCCACTCCATTCCGACAAAACCCAAGTGACGTTAACTCCAACTCCAACTCCCACTCCAATTCCAACTCTTTTTCAAATTCCCATTCTAACTCCATCTCATCAGTGAACTCCCGGTTGAGTTATGGCCAACGAGACTTTCCTTATCGGAGATTAACCAAGGCCGAAATTCAGAAAAAAAAAAAAGGAAAAGGGGTTGTGTTACAGATGTGACGACAAGTACTCCCTTGGCCATCGGTGTGGCAATAAACAATTTCAGGTACTTTTGATTGAGGAGGCAGGGCTGGAAGGGGACGAAAATATGGGGGCTGAGATTGAGGCAAATGAAAACGAGGAAGAGATATAGGGTGATGATGAGTTATTGGTTAGTTTAGTGATAAGTATTACCGGCCCGAAGACAATGAAATTGAAGAGAGAAATTGGGGGTAAAGAGGTGGTTGTGCTTGTAGATAGTGGCGCCTCCCACAACTTCATCAACCGGGAGGTTGTTGAGGACTTGGGTATTCCGATGGTATCCACCAGGACCTTTGGAGTGAGGATGGGAGATGGCTATAATGTGAAGTGTCAAGGGGAATGCCGTGATGTGTGATTAAAATTACAGTGCCTGGAGATAATTCAAAATTTCTTCCCATTCTCCATGAGTAGTGCGGATGTAATATTGGGGGTAGCTTGGCTGGAGACATTGGGGGAAACTACCCACCGACTAGCGAAAATTAATGATGAAGTTTAAGATAGCAGATCAGTGGGTAATGCTTCAGGGAGATTCATCCTTGCGCAAGAGCAAGGTATCTTTAAAGGGGATGATAAAAACACTTCAAGAAGACAGCCAAGTGTATTTAATTGAGTTTGCCAATCTGCAAGTGCAGTAGGATGATGGGATCAATAGGGATGCAATAATCAGTATGTTGTTGGGAGAATTTGAGATGCTATTCGAGCCTTACCGAGGTCTTCCACCGGCCAAGGAACAAGATCATGCCATCAGAATCACCCAACATAAGGCTTTACCGACCCGTACTACCAAAAGAATGAAATTGAAAAGATTGTCAGTGAAATGTTGGCTTTCGACATTATAAAACCCAGTGTTAGTCCTTTTTTCGAGTCCTGTTCTGTTGGTGAAAAAGAAAGACGGGGTTTGGCGAGTTTGCATCGATTATAGGTCCCTTAACAAGATAGCCATCTCGGATAAGTTCCTTATCCCCACCATCGACGAGTTGTTTGATGAATTGAGTGGTGCGATAGTCTTCTCTAAGCTTGATCTTAGGTCCAGTTATCATCAAATCAAAGTCAAGGAAGATGACACACCCAAGATGGCCTTCCACACTCATGAGGGACATTATGAGTTCCTTGTGATGTCGTTCGGATTATCAAATGCCGTTCAGATTATCGAATGCCTTGACAACATTTCAATCCTTGATGAATAGTATTTTAAGGCCATTCCTATGGAAGTATTTACTTGTCTTCTTCGACGACATCTTAATATACAGCCCCAATATTGAGACTCACTTACACCATCTTCAGATTGCATTCCAAGTGCTATTGAAACATTGGTTGGTGGTTAATAAAAAGAAGTATAAGTTCGCGCAGGAGCAACTTGAGTATTTAGGCCATATAATTTCAGCTCAGGGTATGGTGGTAGATCCCTCTAAAATTGATTGTATCCTCAAGTGGCCAGTGCCCAAGGATGTTAGAGCACTCAAAGGATTATTGGGGTTAACAAGATATTATTGAAAGTTCATGAACAGGTATGGGGTATGTGCTAGACCATTGACCGAGCTCCTACGAAAGGATGTCTTCACTTGGATAAAGGCAGCACAGACATCATTTGAAGCTTTAAAAAGGGCCATAACTTCAATTCCTATTCTGGTCATGCTAGATTTTACTAAAACTTTTGTCATTGAGACTGATGCCTCAGGACAAGGTCTTGGCACAATGCTAATGCAAGATGGCAGGCCCCTAGTATTCATTAGTCAAGGGTTTTCTTTGTAGTCCAGGTTAAAATTAGTCTACGAGAGAGAGTTGATGATTGTAGTTTTTGCTGTCCAAAAGTGGAAACATTATCTCCTTGGTCGGCACTTCATCATTCACACCAATCAATGCAACCAACACTACTTGAATGTACAAAGATTGCAGGGTGAAGAACATCAGAAATGGGTGGTCAAGTTATTGGGATTAGATTATGAGATTCAGTATAAACTGGGAATGGATAACAAAGTCATAGATGCATTATCCGAGAAGGAAGACCTGGCGCATTTCAATGTCATCTCTAAGTGCTATTTTCCAAGGAAGAATGGGAAGATGCCATACAAAAGGATGCTAAACTGAAGAAGATCAGTCTCAACTAAAAATTGACTAAAACGTGAGTGTTGACTAGTCAAGAATAATGCCAAACGTGACACATGACAAGGTGATCCCGTAAATGGTGGAAAAAAATGCCAATCCTACCTTATATAAAAATAAATTAAATCTCACAATTATAAGAGTGGGTAGGCAACTAATTTTTCGGGTAATTGGCAGAAATCCAACCCAAGACACCATATACAGATGGTCACGAAGCAGATGCAAGAGCAAGATCTCCGTACTCAGCTGTCCAAATTTTATAGGTCCCACAAAATTTGGAAGGGGTTTAAGGCTTTAAGCCCTGATATATTAAACATCTTTCTATTTTTTTCCCACCAGATTTTTCAAGTTCACACCCATCTGATGGACCGTAATGTCTCAACGATACAAAGGAGGAAGGGGTAAAAAGGAGAATTACTAAAAGTAAAAGGTGGCAGAATTAGTTACAAAGAATCTGAGTATGTCAGGAATAAAATGAGAGACGTGAGGTGTAGAGGGATTCTGATTTTGGGTGTGTATTGTCCAGGGTACTGGCCCTCAAAGTAGCTGTTTTGTTGCCTTTGAGTCTACTGTTATTTGCTTATTTTGCTTATTTAACTACTGTTATATTGAATACTAATATATCACAATTTTCTGAGTTGTTCATCTTTGTTCTTGATTGTTGCTTGGCTGTTGATTTAATGGCTTATTGTGGTGTTGAGTTGCTCTGTGTGGGTGAAGGAGGTGAATTTGGGTTAATTAGAAGGCATATCTATCAAATGGTATCAGAGCAAAGGCGATTTGTGGATTATGGTTGGTACTAGGATGGAGAATAAAGTTGAGAAATAGAGAGGACATGGCAGTGGTTCAGAGAGATGTAGCTAGGATAACAGAAACGGGAATGCCATAAGAAATATTAATGGATGTTCAAAATTGGATGCAAAAGAAAGATGAGGAAGGAGAAGAGCGCAGAAGAAACCTGGTTGGGGCTCCAACGAGGAGGGGTGTTGTAGTAGGCTTGACCCTCACGGTGACCATGGACATCTAGGGAACAGGGAAGCCAAAGCGAGAAGGGGTAACCACGGCGTAGGGATGCTTCACGGCGGCGATGGAGGAAACCGCTCGAATGGGTGCTGAAAACTAGAAACTGTGATTTTCCGCGAAGACCCCTATGGGGGTATTTCGAGTGGAATGCTACTTTACATCAACCAGATCCCTAACAAGCACAAGGTATTTGCGACAGCATGTGCATAGAGGTGGAGGCTCTCCATTGGTACCAGTGGACAAAGTCACGGGCGGAGGCGAGGACCTGCCAGCCTTCAGTGGCTTTCTTGTAGCACTTTTGGTAAGCAAGAGGTCAGCTCGTTGGAACTGTTGATGGCAACCAAGCAAGGTGGGACGGTGGTGGAGTTTAGAAGGAGATTTGAGAAGGTGGCGATGTGACAATCGAGAAAGAGAGGATGTTTTAACCACGCTTGTCTCAATGGGCTAAGCCGAAAGTAAGGGCCAAAATCAAGTTGCAAGAGCCCAACCTCTTGGCCCAAGCCAACCCGCTAACAAAGGCCACATATAGCCTAAAGAATAAATAAAATTTGAATTTGTTATTGCTTGCTAGCCGTTGCAATTTGGCCGGATCTGACCAAATTGCGATTAGGGATGTAAAAACTCTGAGCCCGCAGGGTTGCCAAAGTCTGGATTTTTTTTCTCTAATGCAAGCTCGAGCTTAAGAAAAAGCCTAGGTTTTACAAACCCATGCTAGGCCTACCCAGGCTTTAGGCCCCAGTTTATTTATTTAAAAGAGGTATTTGAAATTTTACTTTGTAGGCGGGTGCTGGAAGTAATAAATTAGGGGGTTATTGATCATTTTAGGGTTTAGCATAGCTAGTAGTTTTTAGTAGGGGTGTTCAAAAGAACCGGTTGAAACCGGAACCGGAACCGACGGGTACCCTGGGTTTGATTTTGGTTCTTACCCAGTATCAATTGTCAATGGGTAGGTTCCGGTTCCAACTTTTTGGAACCATTACTGTGCGGTTCCGGTTCAGATTCCGGTTCCAGTTCCTATAGTTAGGAATCGGAACCGAAACCAGGAACCAAGACTAATATAAAATAAAATTAAATATTAGGGGGGTTAATAAAAGCTTTTGTAGAAAAAGTAATGTGAATACATTTATATTTATATTTCATAACATTTAAAATAAGTTTGTTTGACTTTTGAGAATCTGCCTTTACAAAGTAAATGGAGTTTGTAATTTGTAATTTATAATTTATAATTTTATTTTTGTTAACCAGTGCTAGATGGGGTATTTGTAAGTTTTTAAAGATTTTTTTGCCATTTTGAAAACTTTTGAGTGTCACTGTAATTTTACAGGGTACCCAGAACCGGAACCGGAACTGTTGTTACAGGTTCTGGTTCTGGTTCCAAATTTCAAAGAACCGTCAGTTCTGATTCCGGTTCCTTCAAAAAGTGCTGGATACTTGGAACCGAACACCCCTAGTTTTTAGGGATTTAATGTAATTTTAGTGGGTTTTCTAAAATTTTATATAGGAGGCTATAGATAATTTCGTATAACTTCGTATAATATACCTGAACCGTAATTGGGTTGAATGTAATTTTTGCCCGGGTTTAGCCTAATCTAAATCAAGTCGGGTTTTTTTTACATTCTAAATCGCGATGGCTACCAAGCAATTGTCCCACTTGTCCTTGTCAAACTCCAAGCCGAAAATCGCCTTCCTCTTCCTCACGAACTCTGATCTTGTCTTCACTCCCCTTTGGGCCACCTTCTTCACCAACAACTCAAACAAAAACCTCTTCAAAAAAAAAAGTAAAAGGTATCAAAGGTGAAGGATTTAGAGAAAGTAGGATGGATATGGATTCAAATAGTAAAGGGTTTTTCATCTTTACACTACTTATTCCATATCAATTAACAGATCTTAACATGATGGGAAACTATCATTCTCCTGTAAATAGAAAAGAAAGTTTAAGGATTTTTCACAAAAAGTCATAAATACCCTTTTAAAAATCTTATAATACCAAAATATCCTAATTTCCGTTCAAGATAATTGGTGAAATTAAGGAAATGAGAACTACCTATGTAAATTGTGTCAAACCATAAATGTAAGACCTAACTCTTTATTGAAGAGTCTGTTAAGAGAGTTCCTATGTCCATGTCGTAATCCTATTCATTTAATATCTATCTCCTCCTTGATTTTATGGACAAAGACATCAAGAGAGGAGTGAGAGAAATTTCATGTATTTTATTTTTCCAAGTTCTAATTATGTGATTTCTAACAAATATATCCTGACTAGATTTGGATTCCATTATATTTACGTCTGTCTATACAGGAGGAAACTACGCGTGATACAAGAACAAGCTATTTCCAGAACCACAGGCTATCAAGTTTTCGGCTGGATGCCATGCTAGATGCTGCAACTTGGAGCTCGAGTTACGAGAATATTCATTACTATCCAAGCTTAAATATTCATGCCCTGCACAGTAAGTAAAAGTAGAGAAGTCAGAGCCCCATATAAAAGGAGGGCGGTAGAAAGCAAAAGCCATTCTTGGTTCAGGTAACGAAACTCTTAACCTTGCCGATAAAACCCACGAGCCAGGTTGCTTAAAGAAGACCTTCTCACCCTTGGAGCAGCTTGAAGAAGTGACCTCCTATTTTAATCAATCGGGGAACATAAAATTAAACACACGAAATGAAAAGGAAGGATTAGAGCATTGTTGCAGAAAATTGTAATGGTAATGCCATCAAGTACTAGCATATTATTATCAATGTTTGTAACACCGGATTTAAAAAGGTAATAGCTTTCCTTTCTCTTTTCTGTTTTCTCTTTTGTGCGCAAAATGAATGATAATAGCAGCAACTCATAGCGGAATATTGTAGGTAATTAACATAAATCAGGGCATAGACATCCATGCTATTATTGCAATCTCACATAGGATAAAAATGGATTGGATCTTGGACTATATAGAGGCAGGTAGTTAACAAATGTTCGCTCCACAAAAATGGTATCAAAACAAATCCATGACAAACTCAAGTTCTTATCCCCTATGTAGGCTCTCATAATCAACTAAAATATTGACTAAAACGTGAGTTTGACTAGTCAAGAATAATGCCAAACGTGACACATGACAAGGTGATCCCGTAAATGGGTGGAAAAAAATGCCACAATCCTACCTTATAATAAAAATAAATTAAATCTCACAATTATAAGAGTGGGTAGGCAACTAATTTTTCGGGTAATTGGCAGAAATCCAACCCAAGACACCATATACAGATGGTTTCACGAAGCAGATGCAAGAGCAAGATCTCCGTACTCAGCTGTCCCAAATTTTATAGGTCCCACAAAATTTTGGAAGGGGTTTAAGGCTTTAAGCCCTGATATATTAAACATCTTTCTATTTTTCCCACCAGATTTTTCAAGTTCACACCCATCTGATGGACCTGTAATGTCTCAACGATACAAAGGAGGAAGGGGTAAAAAGGAGAATTACTAAAAGTAACAGGTGGCAGAATTAGTTACAAAGAATCTGAGTATGTCAGGAATAAAATGAGAGACGTGAGGTGTAGAGGGCATTCTGATTTTGGGTGTGTATTGTCCAGAGGTACTGGCCCTCAAAAGTCTAGCTGTTTTGTTGCCTTTGAGTCTACTGTTATTTGCTTATTTTGCTTATTTAACTACTGTTATATTGAATACTAATATTATCCACAATTTTCCTGAGTTGTTCCATCTTTGTTCTTGATTGTTGCTTGGCTGTTGATTTAATGGCTTATTGTGCGTGTTGAGTTGCTCTGTGTGGGTGAAGGAGGTGAATTTGGGTTAATTTCAGAAGGCAGTATCTATCAAATGGTATCAGAGCAAAAGGCGATTTGCTGGATTATGGTTGGTACTAGGATGGAGAATAAAGTTGAGAATATAGAGAAGGACATGGCAGTGGTTCAGAGAGATGTAGCTAGGATAACAGAAACGGCGAATGCCATAAGAGAAATATTAATGGATGTTCAAAATTGGATGCAAAAGAAAGATGAGGAAGGAGAAGAGCGCAGAAGAAACCTGGTTGGGGGCTCCAACGAAGGAGGGGGTTGTATAGGGCTTGACCCTCACGGTGACCATGGACATCTAGGCGGAACCCAAAGGGGAAGCCAAAGCGACGAAGGGCGTAACCACGGCAGTAAGGGATGCTTCCACGGCGGCGATGGAGGAAACCGCTGCGAATGGGGTGCTGAAAACTAGAACTGTTGATTTTTTCCCGCGAAGACCCCTATGGCCGGGTATTTCGAGTGGAATGCTACTTTACCATCAACCAGATCCCTAACAAGCACAAGGTATTTGCGACAGCATTGTGCATAGAGGTGGAAGCTCTCCATTGGTACCAGTGGACAAAGTCACGGGCGGAGGCGAGGACCTAGCCAGCCTTCAAGGTGGCTCTCTTGTAGCACTTCCGTGGAATGCAAGAGGTCAGCTCGTTGGAACTGTTGATGGCAACCAAGCAAGGTGGGACGGTGGTGGAGTTTAGAAGGAGATTTGAGAACGTGGTGACGTTGACCATAAGAGAAAGCGAGGATGTTTTAACCGCCGCTTGTCTCAATGGGCTCAAACCGAACGTAAGGGCCAAAATCAAGTTGCAAGAGCCCAACCTCTTGGCCCAGGCCAACCCGCTAACAAAGGCCACATTGCTGACCTAAAGGGTGGAAGAAAGAAACATGGTGATTGAAAAGGCCCACTCTAGCTTAGGCCAACAAAACAAGTGGGGAAGTGCCTTTAGTGGCCCAAGAAGTTTTATTGCTCAGCCCAAACCTGAAGAAGCCCACAAAAACCCAACCTATCATTTTCCACCAGCACCAATTCTTCAACCTGACTTCCACTCATTCCGACAAACCCAAGTGAGTTAACTCCAACTCCAACTCCCACTCCAATTCCAACTCTTTTTCAAATTCCCATTCTAACTCCATCTCATCGTGAACTCCCGTTGAGTTATGGCCAACGAGACTTTCCTTATCGGAGATTAACAGGCCGAAATTCAAAAAACAAAAAGGAAAAGGGGTTGTGTAGATGTGACGCAAGTACTCCCTTGGCCATCAGTGTGCAATAAACAAATTTCAGGTACTTTTGATTGAGGAGGCAGGGCTGGAAGGGAAGAAATATGGGGGCTGAGATTGAGGCAAATGAAAAGAGAAGAGAGTATAGGGTGATGATGAGTTTTGGTAGTTTAGTTATAAGAATCATGGCCCAAAGACAATGAAATTGAAAGAGAGAATTGGGGGTAAAGAGGTGGTTGTTTGTAGATAGTGGCGCCTCCCAATTTCATCAATCAGGAGGTTGTTAGGATTGGGTATTCCGATGGTATCCACCAGGACCTTGGAGTGAGGATGGGAGATGGCTATAATGTGAAGTGTTGAGGGGAATGCCGTGATGTGTGATTAAAATTACAGTGCTAGAGATAATTCAAAATTTCTTCCATTCTCCATGAGTAGTGCGGATGTAATTTGGGGGTAGCTTGGCTGGAGACATTGGGGGGAAACTACCACCGACTGCGAAAAATGATGAAGTTAAGATAGCAGATCAGTGGGTAATGCTTCAGGAGATTCATCCTTGCGCAAGAGCAAGGTATCTTTAAAGGGGATGATAAAAACACTTCAAGAAGACAGCTAGGTGTATTAATTGAGTTTGCCAATCTGCAAGTGCAGTAGGATGATGGGATCATAGGGACGCAATAATCAGTATGTTGTTGGGAGAATTTGAGATGCTATCGAGCCTTACCGAGGTCTTCCACGGCCAGGAACAAGATCATGCCATCAGAATCACCCAACATAAGGCTTTACCGACCGTACTACCAAAGAATGAAATTGAAAAGATTGTCAGTGAAATGGTGGCTTTCGACATTATAAAACCCAGTGTTAGTCCTTTTTTCGAGTCCTGTTTGTTGGTGAAAAAGAAAGACGGGTTTGGCGAGTTTGCATCGATTATAGGTCCCTTAACAAGATAGCCATCCGGATAAGTTCCTATCCCCACCATCGACGAGTTGTTTGATTGATGAGTGGTGCGATGTCTTCTCTAAGCTTGATCTTAGGTCAGTTATCATCAAATCAAAGTCAAGGAAGATGACACACCCAAGATGGCCTTCCACCTCATGAGGGACATTATGAGTTCCTTGTGATGCGTTCGATCGCGATTATCGAATGCCTTGACAAACATTTCAATCCTTGATGAATAGTATTTTTAAGGCCATTCCTATGGAGTGATTTACTTGTCTTCTTCGACGACATCTTAATATACAGCCCCAAATTGAGCAATTACACCATCTCAGATTGCTTCCAAGGCTATTGAACATTGGTTGGTGGTTAATAAAAAAGAAGTATAAGTGCGGCAGGAGCAACTTGAGTATTTAGGCCATATAATTACTGGTGTGGTAGATCCCTCTAAATTGATTGTATCCTCAAGTGGCCAGTGCCCAGGATGTTAGAGCACTCAAGGATTATTGGGGTTAACAGATATTATGAAGTTCATGAACAGTAGGGGTATGTGTAGACCATTGAACGAGCTCCTACGAAAGGATGTCTCCACTTGGATAAAGGAGCACAGACATCATTTGAAGCATTAAAAAGGGCCATAACTCATTCCTATTCGGTCATGCTAGATTTTACTAAAACTTTTGTCATTGAGACTGATGCCTCAGGACAAGGTCTCGGCACAATGCTAATGCAAGATGGCAGGCCCCTAGTATTCATTAGTCAAGGGTTTTCTTCGTAGTCCAGGTTAAATTAGTCTACGAGAGAGAGTTGATGATTGTAGTTTTTGCTGTCCAAAAGTGGAAACATTATCTCCTTGGTCGGCACTTCATCATTCACACAATCAAGCAACCACACTACTTGAATGTACAAAGATTGCAGGGTGAGAACATCAGAAATGGGTGGTCAAGTTATTGGGATTAGATTATGAGATTCAGTATAAACGGAGAATGGAAACAAAGTCATAGATGCACTATCCGAGAAGGAAGACTGGCGCATTTCAATGTCATCTCTAAGTGCTATTTTCCAAGGAAGAATGGGAAGATGCCATACAAAAGGATGCTAAACTGAAGAAGATCATCAAGAACTGATGCTTAATCCCTTCACCACCTGCCCTTCGCCTTGTGGGTCACCAACTTTCACGGTGATCGTTTGGTTCTTCCTGGTCCAACCGCAAGTCAAGTTACTCCTTCAAGAGTTTCATTCCTCTCCTACGGGGGCATCCAGACATACAAGAGGCGTCCCAGTGGTTTATTGGGAAGGGATGAAAAAGGACATTAGAAGTTTGTGAGAAACGCCCACTTGTCAACAAAAAAAGTATGATAGTCTGCAGCCCGCCGCTAGTTAGCCCTTACCGATGCCAACACAAGTTTGGGAAGACATCTCATAGATTTCATGAGGGGCTTTCGAAAGGCAACGTGCAAATACTATTTAGTGGTGGTTGACTGATTAACAAAATACAGCCACTTCATCACCTTGAACAACCTTTTTCGACCAAAGAGGTAGCCACACAATCATTAATGAGATCGTGAAGTTACATGGGTTTCCCCACACTATCGTATAGATCGTGATAAGGTTTCATGAGTGTTTTTGGAAGAATTGTTCAAACAGTTTGGGACTAAATTGCACATGAGTATGACTTATCAACCACAATCGGATGGGTAAACAGAAGTTGTGAATAGGTGCTTGGAAACCTACTTGAGGTGTTTTGTTGGGCAAAAGCCACGACAGTGGCCTAAGTGGTTGAGCTGGACAAATTTTGGTTTAATACGACCTAAAATCGGTCTTTGGGAATGACACCATTTCAAACCTTTTATGGCCGTGACCACCAGTACTCCTTAGGTATGTGAACACTTTCTGTGGTTGAGGCAGTGGATGAATACTGAGGACAAAACTTGATTTTGATGAGTTGAAAACCAACTTGCCAAGGCTCAAAATGACATGAAACAGCTGCTGATGGAAGAGGAGGGAAATTCACTATGAGGTAGGGATTCCGTGTATCTTAAACTACAGCCCTACCGCTTAGGTCCTTGCTCCCAAATCAACAAAAAGCTCAATCCTAGGTTCTATGGACCCTTCCAATCACTAAAAAATCAGCCCTTGCTTACCATGCAGTTGCCCCACAGCCGGATCTATAACGTTTTTCACTGTCCAGCTCAAGAAAGTGTTACTCATCCGGTGGCCACTCAACCTCTTCCCGAATTCCTTGACAGCAACCTGGTATTCAACATGGAACCAACAAGCTATCGTAAACGCCACTTGGAAGAGAGCTACAAGGTCTTGAAAGTGGAAGAATTACCTCCTTGGGATAACACTTGGGAGAGCTACACCTATTTGTCACAATTTCCTTCCTTCCACCTTGAGGACAAGTGACACTCTTGGGAGGGTAATGATGACCCGCAATGTCTCAACGATACAAAAGAGGAAGGGGTAAAAAGGGGAATTCTAAAAGTAACAAGTGGAGAGTTAGTTATAAAGAATCTAGTATGTCAGGAATAAATGAGAGACGGGAGGGTAAAGGGTTTTATTCTGGGTGTGCATTGTCTGGAGGTACTGGCCCTCGAAGTCCAGTTGTTTTGTTGCCTTTGAGTCCACTATTATTTGCTTATTTTGCTTATTGAACTACTGTTATATTGAATACTAATATTATCTACAATTTTCATCTGAGTTGTTCCATCTTTTATTCTTGATTGTTGCTTGGCTGTTGATTTAATGGCTTATTGTGTGTGTTGAGTTGCTGTATGTGGGTGGAGGAGGTGAGTTTGGGTTAATTTCAGAAGGCAGTATCCATCACCATCCAAGCAAGAAAAGCGTACCAGCAAGTTTGTAACATAGAATTTAATTATTTGACTGAGTACGATATTACGTAGATACAGTGGATAAAAACAGAAAACCAACCTGTTTCTACTTTTGCTGGCTTCAATTGTGACCCCTTCTGCACTTCCAACACCATGAGAGAAGATACGCAGAAGATTGCTAAGTCAAAATCAATGAGAAAACCGTGTAATTAGAAATGCAATATTTCGGTAATAGTAGCTTTTCATTACTGCATATGCAGCAGTTTTAGTCAAAAGGACAAACCTATAGGATCCAGTTGCAAAATGAAGTCCACATCCACTGACACAGCATTCAAATTTATCAAATATGGAGTCATCATTATACAATTCACATAGCTGCATAGACACAATCTGCTGTCAGCCATACGGAAGCATAGGTTTGCTAATCACTTTGTGAAACTTACCAACATAGAAATTCTAATAGCATAAACTAATGAGGTCCACAGTCTAAATGTTTATCCAGAATATATCCAGGAGATACAAACGCTTCAAATTTTATCCAGAATGTAATCATTCGACCTGCTGGAATTGAACCAACGATCTGGAGGATTAGTCCTCTGCTCTTCCACTGAGCTAAGGTCGACTTGTAAGTAAATCCCTTAACTTTTTGAAGTCATGCAAGTGACCACAATATGCCAATAAATGACAAATTAGATAATTATTAAGTTAATGATAGCTAAAATCGGTGCACTCTAGAATCCAACAGGTTAATGGTAATGATAAAAATTACATTTGTATAGAGGCTAATAAATTCCACTGCAGTAAAAGAATAAAGTATGCTCTCACATTGGGGCGTAGGTGCTCATGAATCTTGAATGTTGCAACTGGTGTAGAATCCATATGCATATCCCACAGCTAAGGCAACATAATTGCAGCAACATTAGTTGGTTAAAGCATGAAGAGATTGATTTGCCCTTTCTACAATTGCATAGATAACCAAACAAGCATCATGAGGACTTAAAGCTAAAATAGACAGACAGATGACTTCTTCAGAACCTCAAAAACCCAAACTACAGACACGAGGAACAAACATAACTTTCTTCAACTGGACTAAATCTAAAACTTGATTATTCTTTTTTATGAATGAAGTCCTGCAGCAAAGATAACCATATTACACCAAACACACACACCAAAATGAAGGAGAAGAAGAAGACATGCCATCAGATAGTTATGTTTTCTATTTATCTCCTCTTCCTAGTTTGTAGACTGGAGCAATAATGTACAGAAAATACATGTATGAATCACATTTTGGATTTAAGGAGTCATGCCAAATGTGTGTGAGGACCTTTAAATTCATATAATCACGACTTAGGAGGTGCCTCCCATCTTTTGCAAACTTTATATCAGCAATGGATGCCACTATCTCTGTAAGAAAAGATTTTGATCCATGGGATTCTGCATGTCGTAATCTGTGAGATAAGAGTTCCAAAAGATGAATATCACAATATCTCCATGCATCATGGAAGTAAAAGAATACATATGTTAAGTTAAACTTAAGATCTGGAGGTCATAATACATAAACCATGGAACAAAATACATGAAAAAGCTTCAACTCACATTCTAGCACTATTATCACATAATGCAGACTGCCGCATGTCAACCACTCGAATAAAACCTCTTGAGCTGCTGTATGCAAGCAGATTACAGTGAATTGGATGAAATTGCGCTGAAGTAATGACCTCTGCAAAAAAAAAAAAAAAAATTAAGATATCAACTAGAAATTCCATCATTCTTGTCTTTTGCTATATAAGATTCCATCCCTCTTCTTAAAAGGTTCTTTTGCTAAGTCTTTCACATATATATGTCCTCCCTTTTGGAAGATCTCAATGGTCATTGCATATAAGATGCAAAATAATGGAACAAAGAGATGATGGATGATGAAAATAATCACCAGTCAGGTCATCCATGTTTGATGGCTTCATGTCAACAATATTAAAACACTGGTCACTGATCTCAAGGTTCCACAAATTTATTCGGAGGTCATCTGCAGAGATGAATGTCTCCCCATCACTGTACATAGCTTATAAAGCAAATTATCATTAGAGTGGTAAAAAATCTGCATTACTTCATGTTTTACAGAATTTGTGTGCTCCAATGCTTTGGAGAGAAGGGGAACTAAATCAAGGTAAAAAAAGGGGGTTTGCATATATATATATATGGAACAAATAATTTAGTTCATTCTTTCATATACATGTATTTATAGGGGATTATCAACAAAGGTACAAAGTTTCAGAAACTCACTAATAAAGGACAAAGTTAGTAATCATGCAAAAAAAAAAAAAAGCAATCAACCGTTAGGTAGTGTTTAATTTTACTTGGTGTAAGGTTAATTAAATATTTTTGAAAAATCAAAATTAAGATAAAAAAACCAACAAAATTAAGAAAAAAAAGTAAAAAAGAATTAAAAAGAAAAACAGAGCCATTGGTGTCAAGGCCAAGTTCGAGACACTAGCTGCTACTGGCTTCTATCTTTTTTGCTATTAATTTATTTGGTTTCATTTAACTTTTTCCCTTTTTCTTAATTTTTAACTTTTTTTTAATTTAAAAATAAAAAAACTAAATTTACTTAAAAAAATATAGAAATAGTCAGGGATATCCATGTCTTTTAATTTTTCTGTTAAATTTAATGGCAAATCACCGTTAATTATCCCTTTTTTGCACGTTTTGTAACTTTTGTCTTTTATTTATAAGTTTTCAAAAACTTTGTATGTATAACGATAATCTCTCTTTATTGATTTATTTTTGCAAACGAAGTTAATTTTGAAGTTAAAATAAAAACAAGAGTACAATATAAGTACCAATGAAAGACTTTACCTATTATTTGAAATTGAGTTGATATTAAAATCATGAGCATGCCCATAAACCTTTTGACATCTTGTATGAGCACTGTCTCCAGTATTGGCAATCTAGCAACAACACAACAAAATAGAAAAGTAATATTGCATACTGAACAAAACATAGACAATCAAGATATTTATAAAATCCTTACCATAATTCACAACCACCTACCTTGGTGTGCACTTCTTGAGATGGTGACATGTTCTTAGCCATATTCTCTGTCCAATCCAGCTGATATCCATTAGGAACAGACTGAGTGTTTCGCCCACTCATGAAACTCATCTCAGCTAAAAGAGTGTTTTCTGAAGACACATAAGGAGAGGAGTCCATTTCTTTTATTTTCTTCACCTTACGATCCTTAATCTGGCCTCAAAAATCAAACAATAAAACGTTACCATCCTAGTCCAGTGGTAAAGGCAACTAAGGTAGAATTGGTCTCCAATATCTACACTGGCAGAAGTCAGAAATTTCAAACTACTTACTAACAGCAGATTGTAAAGTATGTAATGATGAAATAAAGGAGTATAAATAATGCATTTGTTTGTCCAGGAGCACATACCTTCCACAGTTTAATTGTCTTATCATTTGTTGAAAGGATGAACAATGATCCATTGGGTGTTGCACACCATCTAACTCTGTTGATCTTCTCTTCAATTTCCAAACTCTTCAAGTAATCGAACTAAAGAAAAGGAACACCACCATGATCTCAAAATACGTGTGGAATAAAAAAAAAATAAATAAATAAAGATAAATAAACCCCACCTATAGCACCGAAATAGCAAAGAACCCCTTGGTTGAATCTTTCTAGTCTATGGGCATACGATTAACTTAAGGATTATATAATAAACAAGGGAATCTTATCATTCTGATACAGTAGGAAGTTTAGAGTAATCTATTTAATAGAAATTGATATAATATTCGAAAAGGGAATTTGTGCAATAAATAGAAAGCACACCTCAGGCTCATGACTCTGAAATTCGGTTTTGTATTGATACCGAATATGCCTTGTTTGAGTTAAATCCGTTTGCTCCATCTTACTTCTTGAAAACTGCTGGCTTGGTGTCTAAGAAGCAAAGGTCAATTTATCCCAACATTAGATATCTTCCACCCTAAAAAAGATAACGCAACACGAAATGAACAGAAAGAAGAAGTTTCTATCTGTTATGTGAAAAATTCTGACATCTTTTCCGGTATCTGTTTCGAAAATAATAACACGGCCACCACGATCTCCGACGGCAAGGTAATCACCGGTCTTGTCGAACTCAATTGCTGATATGATATCAACTAAAACAATTAAAAAGCAAAAAGTCAATAAATTAATTAAGCCATTAATTACTTCCTCATGTCAAAGAACACTAACAAAAAACCACAATTGGTTGTGCAAAAATTAAACCCTAACCATCTTGAACTTCTTCGTCAGGACTTCTTTCACCAAAGACCTGAGAAAACTTCCACTCCAAAGGAGTGGAAACGTCTTCTCTGTTCGAAACCATTGATTCTTTTGGAGAAAAATGGCGTCGGTGGATAGTATAGAGCGATCTCACTCAGTCACGACCTCATCATCACTGAGACAAAGCAAAGAACAGAAAAGAATTCGTGTTGTATTCTATTCTTCAATAACACTGATTCTGTTTCTCTTTTAATTATTGCTTCACCTTCTGTTGCTTTACTTGTGTTACGTTATCCACTCAAATTACATACATACCCCCAATACCTTTTTAAATTTTTCATTTTTCATTTTCACCCCTATCACAGATAAATGGTTGGATTTTATTGTAATTAAGGTATATATAAATTAATGTATTATTAAAAATAAAATAAAAATTTTTATATTTTCAACTTTAAAAATAATTACTAATTTATATTTAACTGAAAATCTCTTTGCAATAGGGAATGACTAAGAGCCCCTTTGGTTCACTATTATTACCCTATCAAATATGATTATCTTATCTAAAACTTAAAAATGTATTTGTTTTAATATTTTAAAATTCAATTCTACTTTATTCAACTTTCAAAACAATAATAATTACATTTCTCATAAAAATTACCCAATTTTACTTTTTTTCTTCAAAATACTATTAAAAAAAGTATCAGAATAGTGAACCAAAAGAAGTTTAAGTCGTCTCATAAACCATCACTGGATGATCCGATGGTAAAAAAGTAAAGGAGGATTTAACATGTTCTCTCAAGTTCGAGTCTCCTTGATGGTGGTCTCCCAAGTTCAAGTTCTTTTGAGGGTAAAAGAACAAGAGGAGAATTTAATATGGTCTTCTGAGTTAAAGTCCTCACAGTTGCTAATAAGGGTGGCCATTAAAGCTCGTACTTGGTCGGTAGTTCTAAAGGATTAGTTAAGATACACATAAACTGGCCCGAACACCCACAGTCATAAAAAAAATAAAAAAGACAAGGCATCCCTTATATTAGATGTAAGCATAATACTACACATACAATATTTTTTATACAATATTTCTCATACAACATGATATAACAAAAGATAATTGATTGATTTTAAATTAAAAATAAATTTTCACCCAATATTTTTTGCCACATGATGTTATATGTGATATGAGAAATGTTGTATACTTGTATATGATAAAACAGGTTGTTATGTCTTGTGTATGAACAACATATCAAGTGTTGGTTTTCTGATCCTCTATGCATGAATGAGAGCTACAAAATCAAAATACGTTTTTGGCAAAAAAAATATGAGCTGTCTCTTTGTAACAACAGTTATAAACATCTGTTAAAATTAATGTCAATGAATCTGTAAATAATGGGGAAAAAGTCACCTAAACTAAATAAAATCCTCCGTCTACCTCAGATGGAAAAATTGTATATACACAAGCCTCTACATTAGAAATTTCCTTTTAATTTATGTAACAAAATTCCTCCCATTACCTCATTGTAATCTACATTAAATTCCTCAAGAAGATCCACTTTTAATGACAGCGATGCCGCTGGTGGTGCCTTCTGGGATCATCTTTAACTGATTCAATCATGCACCGGCGAATGAAGAGCCATCTGTTGACCTGCACTTCCTGAATCTAAACCAAAATGTTTCTCGAAAATTTATGGAGAATATGAGTGGAGGCTAGCTTGGTTCAGTAGTAGTTCTAATTCTAACGGGTGAAGATTCGTTTAGAGATGTAAAGAACAACGACTTCTGGGAGCTGACAATGGAATCTTTGCAGGAATATTCATCTCCAGTTATCACACTCGCATTCAAAAATGGAGGTTGCTTTGGCGAGGGAATTTCATAATCTTTATTGTTTAACATCTCGACTACCTGAGACATTGATGGTCTTAGTGCCCAAGAAGCTTGCGTGCATAGTAGCCCAATTTGAAGCACATTTGAGGCCTCTTTCTCTGGAAATCTACCTGCTAACCCAGCGTCAACAGAGTGAGTTATTTTCTGTTCCTTGTAATGCCTCCAAACCTGGTCTCAGAACGAAGTAATTAAACCAACTTCCATTAGCACATCATTATGTATTACAAATCACTATGAGGAGCTAGGGGAAAAGGAAATTTCATCTTACAGTATGCAATACAGAAGCTGACCCTTCTGAAAAAACACTGTTCTTTCGACCACTCGCAATCTCAATTACTAGCACCCCGAAACCATAAACATCTGCCTTCTCTGTTAGTTGTCCACGAACAAGATATTCAGGAGCCATATATCCCCTGCAACAATCAGTCACTGTTTTCAGAAATAGGTAACCGAAAGTTCATAATATTTGTTTAATTTTGTGATTTCAGAAGTTTCTTCTTGTACTTGAATCAATTAAGGAATCACAGATCCTATAGGAGATCAATTTGCTTACAGTGTTCCTGCAATTCCAGTACTAACATGGGATCTATCAGGGCTAACACATCGGGCTAGTCCGAAATCGGCAATCTTTGGAGTGAGCTTTTCATCGAGGAGAATGTTGCTGGCTTTGATGTCTCTGTGGATAATTTTTGTTCCAGTACCTCCATGAAGGTATGCAAGCCCCTCAGCCGTTCCGCAGATGATTGTAAACCTTTGCTGCCAGCTCAAAATATGGATTGTATTTTTAACTGCATCAACATAAAGGATTTAAGGTGTCGATAATATGAAGATTTTGAACTCCATCTTGCAACTACAAGATAAATTACTTACCAAAAAGAATTTGATCAAGGCTCCTGTTAGGTACATATTCATAAACTAAAAGACTCTCCGGGCCTTCGATACTGCAACCCAGTAGCTTTACAAGGTTCTTGTGTTCAATTCCACTAATCAAATTCACTTCATTGAAGAACTGATCCACCCATTCCCGTGTATTGAAGAACAATCTTTTAACAGCAACATTTCTACCATCAGGAAGAGTCCCTCTGAATACAGAGCCAGCACCTCCCTGGCCTAATTTCCTTGAGTCTTCAAAACAATCGGTTGCCTTCTCAAGCGTTTCATACTTAAAATTTAAACCACACACGTTCGCAGTAGGAAGAAAATATTGTTCTATGGAGAAAAATATGAGATTGTATCAAAATACCGAGGATTGAGAATTAATAAGAGTTTATATTAGCTCCATGTTTATTGCTAGAAATTTTTACCTTCTCTCTTCCTTGATAATCTCTTATATCCCATGAAACAACCAAAACAAGAAAGAATAGCAAATGATATTGCTCCTATAGTGATTGCTATTGTCATCTTGGAATATTCCTCTGTGAAAGATGAACAAATAAATGAATAAACACTTGATGGTTAAACAAATTTTCAAATATTAACAGACAAAGTAGAAACTGATAGTCACAGTTAGGAATCAAACTAGCAAATTAGTCCACAGATTCAAATACCAACAACTCCAGAGAAATCATATTAAAAATTGATAACATTCAAATCAAAATCAAAGCTTCGAATACACAATCATTCAAAAATTCTTACCACTGTCTTCTGGTTCGGGTTCAGTATTGAAGAATCTCTCAACAGAATACCTCATATAACAACCAGTATACATAGCCCTGCCATCGGAGCCAGGGCTACAGTTTCTCAACTCTTGCCCTGCCTTGTCCAAGCACTGGCCACAACCTTCATCACTCACCGTCGCCCAACACTGTGCCAAGGCATACACAGAAACAACTCCTCCTTTCCCTTCCGCAACGGCAAATCCTTCATTTGACTTAGCCTGACGAGTCACATTGGTGATCAGTTCACCAAGCTTAGCTTCAAATTGTTTGTGCAATGAGTCATCGGCTAAGAGACCGGTAGGGGAGCTACAGTTGACGGTATCATAAACAGGGTCAATGGTTTCCTTAAAGAAATCATAATCATCATAGCGAAGAAAGCATCCATCAAGGAAGATACGAGCAGACTCAGAAGGGAGGCAACGAGGGACTTTTGTTCTGGCTGCAGCAAAACACAATTCGCAATCAGTTGAGGAAAGGTCTTCGTGACATTGGGCTAAGCCGTAGATATTGGGAGGTGGGTTGTTGATGTAAAAGTCTGCATGTCCTTGCTTTTTAACTTCTCCGGAGAGAAATTCCATGACCTTAACAAAATTGGAGATGAAGTAGCTGTCTGTGGGCAGCATTTTGGTTCCGCATTTGAAAAAACTTTCGGAGGTACGAGAGCTAGAGAATGAAGGAGAAACAAACATTGAGAAAGCTAAATGTATCGAAATGATGCCGATGAGAAATTTTGGAATTCGGATCTGGAATTGCATTGATATCGAACAGGGGTCCTCTGTTTTAGCAATGTCGTCAAATGGTTATGTTTATTATGAATAGGAAGAAAACTGAACAAAATGATGGATTCATTCTATTTCTTCTCTCTCTCACTCTCTCTGTAAATTGTAGAGGGTGTTCCAGTGGGAGAGAAAATCAACTCCGATGGAGGTATGGAGTGGTTTCTGGTCAAATGTATTCTGTTTTCTGAAGTCATAATGAAAAAGTCTTTCGTTTTAGAATTGTGTTTTTGCAGAGAGATGGGGATGAAAATGGAGAATAAACAAAAAGGGATGGTTGAACTGGCTTTGGTTTTTGTTTTCTTTGTTTAGAAGTCTACTGTTTCTGTTAGGATCAAAACACAAGCCCAAATGCCATATTATTTATCATTGTTCTTATTATTAATATGTTTGGTTTGCTTCTGTTTTGTTAAAAAAAAAAAAAAAAAAAAGGTGAAGGCCCCAATAGGCCAATATCTATTATTACACATGGCATTTTTCGCCAAATTAAGCCGCCAAAGTGGGACTTGTTGGACACGTTTAAAACCCCAACCCATGTTTATGTTGAGAGACTTGATCAACACATTAACGTCTTGAATGTTGGAAGAATTTTTGTTATAAAATGATGGGTTTTTGTCATTTTCCGAGACGTGTCTGTACATTCGGTTAATCGAAACAACTTGATGGTGCTTCTTTTGCTGCCTGTGCAGAAAATCAAAATCTAACTGCTTTAGCTTTGGTTGACAAACGACATTATTCGGGAAACATGCTGACCCCAGGCTGCAACGTTTTGCGTAATCAATACTGGGTCCTGCGAAAAAATAAACGACTTTTTCCAACCCAAGGTTTTCCTTAATGATCTATTCCCACCCAAAAGCTTTTAAAATATCACTTTTCCATTCAAAGTTTATATTTCGACCAATCATCGGCTGATTCTAGCATCTTTGTTACTCTATGCCATCACCATTCTCTTTTTCGATCATCACTCACCAAAACCCCTCAAACTTTGTTCCCGTCAACCATGCCAATCGCAGGCGATCGAGCAATTTGTGTCACTTTCAAGTCAGATTCCGACAAATCCTAACCACCAAAATCTAATCTATCACCATCAAAAGACTCACCGACATCCCCTCTTCAAAAACCCCAATAATCTAGACCGAGTTTTTACTCCTTTGGTTGCCGAATCGAAAAATATATTCTAGATAGTAAACAAAATATGAACTTTATGTGAAAAAGTGGTATTGAAAACTTTTTGGGTGGGAAAGTGTCATAAAGGCAAATCTTGGCTGGGAAAAAGGCGTTTACTCTCCTGTGAAATTAGTTGTACTGATCCATCGATCTGTCATCACCCCCGTTTGCAGGTGCATTGAATATTCTTAGTTTGGAAGAAATTTTTGTTTAAGAATCATTTCTTAGTTTGACTACAGATATGTCTTACAATAAGGCAAATATGAATGAAGAATATTTCAGTCAAACGATATTTTATTCCACTCTTCAAACTCGTGCACCAATGGTGGGGTTTGAATGACGACAAAAAGGTTGGTATAAAACACTAAATAACTTTCATGCATTAAGAATTCAAAGGTTTGACGTATAATTATTTGATTCATATAATCACCAATATATAGGCTGGGTTTGGTTGCTTCAGCTAAAAGAAAAGAAGAATAAGGATCAAAGTTTTTATGTCTGTCAGTGTCAATATTTGGCATTAACAAATAGCAACGTGAATGGAATGTTTCACATTAATGTTCTTGAAAATTGATACCTTAACATTAGGGGCGTGTGGTTGGAGGTTAAGTGGGATTACTGAGGTAATGTCATCTTATATTACTTGATTACCATGTTTGGTTGTCAAGTAATATAAGATACCAGTAATTTTCAAATACCAATAGTAGTTACTATTGGTAATATCTGAGGTAATCTGATTACCTCCATTTTCTTAGGTATTCTGAGATTACCAGGGTTATCTTTTTTTGTTACAATTTTATCCCTTATTAATAAAAATTTTGGACAATAATACCCCTACTTAAAACAAATTTACATTAATATCCTATTTCATTTTACCCTTGTTTAATTAAAATTTTGGACAATAATGCCCTTATATTTAAATTATTTACAGATACCACTGCCACCCAGCCACACCCGCCGACAGTGCCCAACCACCACAGACCACCGCCGAAAAATCGCCGAGTCCCTAAAAGAAGAAAATTCTGTGGGAGGCTCTGGGGGCTTTGCTATGGCCGTTTCCGGCCATATTGATGGCCGAAAACGACCATATCAGCCAAATCTGGCCATTACGCCCGTCTGGACCAGATCTGGCCGTTAATGGCCACGGACATGGCCGGAAACGCCATATCGAAGCCTCCCACAGAATTTTCTTCTTTTTAGGGACTCCGGCGATTTTCCAGCGGTGGTTCGTGGTGGCGGCAGGCGGCGGCAGGAGTGGGGGTGATTTCGTCATAAATTAAAATTTTTATATAGCAGGGTGTTTTTAGCTAATCTGAATATTGGGGGTTAAAAGAAATATTCAAAAATTAATAATAAAAATAATATTATATTATATTTAAAAGGAGGACATTTTAGTAATTTAAATAACATACCCACCAATTTATTCCCCATAACCAACATATTATATAACATACCTACCACTAACCAAACATATTTTCTTAAAGATTTCTAGTAATCTCCAAAGTAATCTATCTTTCCAGTAATCCAACATTCCTAGTAATCTAACATTCCTGAACCAACGCCTTAGTTGAGTGATCAAGAAGGTTTGTTCCTTTCATTAACTTTTTGTGTTCAAACCACCTTAAAGTCACTTATCACATTTGTGGTTATTACTTGAAGTATTGAGTTTATAAGATATTCAATGACTTTAAGAATTAATTGAGGTGTCGTAAGTTGGTCCAAACACACCGGTTATTAAAAAAAAAAAAAAAAAAAATTTGATACTTAGCATGCCTTGACCAATTTGACAAGAATAGTCATCTCCATTTGCCACATAAATTATGCACATTACACATAAACGACGTGACGGTTTTTCTTCCTCGTGCTTGGAATTACGACACCTCTTCTTATATGAGCGATATTTGTGCATTTTCATTTATTTGTGGTTCATATATATTTGTCTATTATGATCCTATTTTGTAACTACCCATAACAAATTTTGATTTGGTAAGGTAAAAATTCATATCAAAAAAGGATCATGATTCAAATATAAGCTACTAAATGACCACTATAGAGCATATATCTTGTTTTTTAGCTAGATTATATAGAAGAATTCAAAGCCTTTTATAATTGCTAACTAGAAAAAACAAGGTTGTCATTTATGTAAGTGTCAAATTTCTTATAAAATTTAATTTATTATGCACATAAACTTTTCGAACCGTGAGAGTTGCTTTATAAATTAAGGAAACGGTATTATGGGATGGTTGATGCCTTGAGTGACTTCAAATTAAATCAAAAAATAAAATCAACCCATAAATGATGATGGGATTAATGATTCAATGAAAGTCCCCTTAGAAAAGTGTTTTTAAACCATAAATGATTCAATGAAAGTCTCCCCAATTTTTTAATATAAATACCATGAAACTACAAGGGGATTTTTTTTTTTTTTTTTGTAACTGGGGTGTTTGAGCCAACTTATGAGTACCTCAATTAATCTCTGAGGTTTATTAAATACTTTACAAACCCAAATGACTAGGTAAGTCACAATATTATTATTGTAGGTGGTCTCAAGGTTTGAACCCAAGAACTCAAGAAATAGAGCAAACCTCTTTGACCACCAAACCAACCCTTTAGGGCATCTCCAACCTAACGCCATTTTGGTGTAAAAACACCAAAATGGTGTGAAAGATGACCTCCAACCCAGTGTTAAGCATCACACCAATTTGGTGTAAATGCATAGTGTCAGGCCAAATTTAGTGTAGCACTGTTCATGCACACCAATTTGGCATGACACTGCTCAAATACTATAATTTTTTTTTTTGTTATTTATATTTATGTTAATTTGATTATTATTTATATTATTATTTATAATAATAAATTCATAATAATTATATAATTAAAAAAATAATGAAAAATTAAAAACAAAATTTTATTCAATGCAAATATTAAACTACAATAACTCAAAATAAAAATTAACATTAATTTAAAAACACTAAAATTAAAAAAAAAATACAACATAAACTAAAATAATAATTTAGTATTCCGGTAGATTATAAAATATATTTTTTTATAGTCTACCGGAATACTATATATATATTTGTGCCATTTTATATTAGATATAATATTTTTCTATATTAAATGTTATATTTATTTAATTAAATAAATGCTTAATTTTATTAAATTAGTATAGTTTTTAAAGTAATTATTATTTAATAAAAATATCATTCCCAATATTTAATTAATGTCTATATAAATAATAAGTGAAATTGATTAATTATTGATTATTAATAGAAAGAAAAAAAAAGAATATTCTAAAGAATATTTTTTTTAGTGTAATGGGTTGGAGATGCAATAGTGTTAACTATTGTATAAACCATAGTATAAACCACTAAGGCACTAACTATTGTCGTCAACCTAAATTTTTATTTTTTAATCAGCAACTCTGTTGACATTAAGCTCAAGACAAGTTTTTTCTTTTCAACTTATTCCTTCATCCACTAACCCAAAGTTCTGATAAATACTTTATACTTCCACTTATAATATACCCAAAGCTGAAAATCAATAACAGATTAACAGTGACCGCCGCAGAATCCGCAAAATAAGTGCTTGTAAATTTGACCGATTTGGATAGCAAGGTAGCTCATTTAGGCTGAACCTACACAGGCCTCAGGCCTACCATAATATTATCAGTAAAAACGGTGTTATTTGAGCCCATTATATCTCTTTGTAAGTTTCATATTATATTTCAAAAAGGCATTTATCATCTCCCTATCTAACCTTTAATGGAGTTTTAAATTATTCGGAATTCTAAGCATTAATGGACTATTAATAAAAAAAGTTTCTAAAACGAGAATAAAAAATCATAATGGATAGAGAAAACATTACTGAGATTGAAGGCATAATTTGATTGTTCTTTATATTTTATAGATTATAACAAACAAAGAACTCAAGAGATTCACACTTATAACTTTTTTTTTTTAAGGATTTTTAATAATTATGTCAAAATTTATTTACAATGGTTAAGATAAGAAAGAAAGAAAATAAGACTAATATTGGAATCTATAAATGGAAGGTAAAGAATAAACATGTCAATGAAATTCATTGGCAGATGATTAATGTAATTAATTGTTAAAATATATCTAATAAATTGATAACTTTCTATCAATTT